GTGCTTAGATTGAAGGGGAGGGGATGTGCTCGGACCCCACCTCTCATTGGGAGGAGTGTCAAGAACTCGTGGTCCCTTTCTAGCCACCCAGAATGCAACGGCTTTCAGCACGGTGGACAGCAGGCAGGGCCACATGACCACCGGGGGCTGACGGTCCCCGGCTCGTCCTGCTGGGAGCTGGCCAGGCTGATGCTGAGTCCCTAGGCCAACCAGCTCACAGGAGCAGGTTTCTCTGAGCCCGTAGGAAGCTGAGGTCAGCATTCTGCATTGGACTGTCCTTCCTCTTTCTCCTTCTCTCCAGTTCAACCACTGTCCAGCTTCGTCACTGGGCTCCCACTCACACCAGCACCCTCCCCTGCCACTGAGCAGCGAGGCACGTCACTGAAGGCCTCTGGTTACTGGCTCGGGGGCAGGGAAACGTGTCGTCTGTGACTTAATTCTCCATAAGACCTTTTCTGTAATTGCTAGTCTCGGGTGATAATTAGCAACTGTTAATTCCTGGTCATTAGCAAGCTAATATGTGGAGGTAATGTACCCAGGTAATCATCGTAAAAGGCTCAAAGCTGCACTGAAACCGGTTTGGCTCAGTGGATAGAGCATCAGCCTGTGGACTGAAGGGTCCCAGGTTCGATTCCGGTCAAGGGAATGTATCTTGGTTGCGGGCACATCCCCAGTGGGGGATGTGAAAGACGCAGCTGATCGATGATTATCTCTCATTGATGTTTCTAACTCTCTATCCCTCCCTCTTTCTCTCTGTAAAAAATCAATAAAATATATATATATATTAAAAAAAAAAAAAAAAGGCTCAAAGCTGCCATGTTTCCGCTTCTCAGCCCACACCCCAAAGGATAACAAGGCCTCTCAGCAGCTCCCGCCCCGGGGTGAGCCTGGGCCCCGCACCTGCCTGAGAGAAGCAATTCCTGAACTGATGGCTCTCGTCTCCGTTCTCCTCTCTGGGTATAGAAATAATACGTGTTCTTAGCGGCTTTGCCAAGCACAGGAATGTGATAAAGAAAATCAAATATCCGTGACCTGGAAGCGTCCACCACCGTCCACGCTCTGGTTGACCGGCTTATGCTTTTTCCCCAGCGGGTTCCTGTGGCTTTCCCTCCGGCTTCACTCGTGTGTTATTACGTGTCCCGTGACCATCTGCCCTGGTGGAAGCAACGTCTATACAGCACCTGCCTGCCTTCCCCGTCAGAAAGTCCACATGAACCTGGTAGACGGCGGATGGGTAAGGTGACCAGACGTCCCACTTTTGGCGGGACAGTCCCGATTTTTAACAATTTGTCCCACGTCCCGTGGTGGTTTAAAAAATGCCGCGGGACAAATGGTTAAAAAGCGGGACGTCTGGCCACCTTACGGATGGGGCTTGGGGGGAAGAAGCAACCACGTAAAAGCAAAGACGTGGACCGAAGCCTGATGATGTGGGAACTAGAAATTCACCCCAGACCAGTCGGCGTCTCCAAGGGGCTCCCATCCCTGCTCCCACCGACGGAAGACACGGCGGGGCAGGGTGGAGGGGAGCCACGGATGCAGTTACATCGGGAGAAAGTCAGGAAGGCAGTGGATGAAGATGCCAGGAGCGGTGTTTGCAGCATGGGGCCGGGCGGGTCCCTGTCATCGCTGCCTGATGCCTCTCCCCGTGGCACAGGGAGGAATGCACGGGTCCAGCACCCACACGGGACCCGCTCACACTCCTGTCCCTCCGTGGGCCTGGCTGGGAGGCCTCGGGTCCTTCTTCCCTCTGCACCTGGGCACCCCTGCCTGTGGTCTGGGAGAAATGGGAGCCTTCCCGCCCTGCAGGGTGGTTTTCGGAATCAGGAATGCCGAGTCGGAGAGCGCCTCCAGGAGGCGCGGGAGAGGATCTGGCCGGGGACCGCCCAGAGGAAGCCCAGGAGGATCAGGAAAGAGCCCTCCGCTTTGGCCGGTGGTGCGCAGCGGTTAGAGCGTTGGCCTATGCACCCGAGGGTCTCAGGTTTGATTCCTGGTCCCGGGCACACACCTGGGTTTAGGGTTTACTCCCTGCCTCAGTGGGGGTGCCTGTGGGAGGCAACCAGTCGATGTGACTCTCTCCCTTTCTCTCTCCCTTTATCTCTCTATCTCTATCTCTCTTTCCATCCCTCTCTCCCTCTCTCTTCTTCTCCCTTTCTCTCTCCCTATATCTCTCTATCTTTATCTCTATCTCTCTTTCCATCCCTCTCTCCCTCTCTCTTCTTCTCCCTTTCTCTCTCCCTATATCTCTCTATCTTTATCTCTATCTCTCTTTCCATCCCTCTCTCCCTCTCTCTCCTTCTCCCTCTACCCCCACCCTTTCCTTTCCTTCCACTATCTCTGAAAAGCAGTGGGAAAAATACCCTCAGATGAGGACTGACAAAACAGAAAGAAACAGCCCTTCAGTGACCCCTGGCCATTTACAAAGACCGTCCTCTGGCTATCGCATCACACACGGTTCTGGGTCCCTTGTGACCCCGGGGATGTGTCGCTGCACCCACACCTCTGGCACCGTTTATGTCTTCCGTGGGCAATGGGGGGCCAGGGCAGGCACTGTGGGATGAGACCTAGGCTTCAGTCCACCGTCTGCCACCACCTGGGACTGTCCTGCAGGCTACTCCCCGTCTCTGAGCCTCCGCTTCCCGACCCACACAGGGGGCTAACTCTACCCACCTACGGGGGTGTTGTGAGGCCCTGACGTTATTTGTTTGTAAATAATTATCTCGCAATAGAGCATAACGACACGTGAGTGGTGAGTCGGGGTGTTACTGTTCCCTCCGGGCCGAGTTCCGAGCGTGCCACCCACGCTGGGCCGTGACAGAGCCCCGGGGTCGTCTCCGGCCGCTGCTTTTATTTCTTGCGTTTGGGGATTCAGATCCAATCGCCTTTCCACTTTCATCTCCCCAAGCCCGAAAGAGCCAAGGTTTTTGTTGTCTCGCTGCCAAGATTATCATTACCATCGGCGCTCAGCTCCGGCCGGTCGCTGGCTGTCATATTTCAGAAGCCCGATCCGGCCGCCTTACAGGAACGCAGCTTATCTGCCCATCGCTGCCGACTAACAAGCCTTCCGCCAGCGCCGGGCTGGCCATTTCCCAAGCCCTGGCCTGGCTGCTGTGCCATGTCATCTCCCAGCAGTTTTGGGGGGGCTGCGAGGGGGCAGGGCAGGCCCTGTCATTCTTCGTGGGGGACAGCCTCGTTCCCTAATGGGTCCGCAGAACTAGACGCCACTGTGTGGGCAGACACGCGTGGGAAACACCGGAATGGGTGCAGCTAAACGCACCCTCCGAGGCCTGAACCTACGACTGTGCGGTGAGATTGTCCAAGGCCCAGAGGCAGCGCTTCCCATGCGAGTGTGGCTTCTGTCCCTTTCCCGCTGGCTCCGCCAGGATGTGCCTGTGCCTCAGCCGAGGCGTCACCCCAAGCCCTGCCTGGGACCCCTGGTCACCGCAGGCGTCTCCGTCTCCCGGCTCAGCTGCTGGGACCGCCGCTCCGGAACATCAGCGTCCTGTCTCCGCATCCCCGGCTGTGCCTTATGGCGAAGGGTTGGCGCTTCGGCAATGTGGCTGCTTAGGTGAGGTGCGCCAGCTCCCCCCTCGGAGGCCTTCCTCTGGGCTCCTCACGTCCTGGCTTCCCTGCTGGGCAGGGTTCTGAGACCTGAGCAGGTACACGCTCACCTGGATCTTGCTACATCGCGGATTCTAGTTACACAGCGGCCGCATGTCTAACCAGCTGCCGGGTGATGCCGTGGCCCGGCGAGGCCACCGCCTGGGCCGGCCGTTCTCTGCCCGGGCCGCACGTCAGGGTCCCGGGAGCCCTCGGAAAGCGCGTCGCCCTCGTTTGGGCCCGGCGGCACCCGGGTGACTGGGAGGGGCGCACAGGCAGGCATTGCCGGGCACTCCCTGGTGATTCTCTCCAGGCGGCCAATGTTCAGTGGGCTCCATGGGGGAATGGGGGGGAAGGAGCGCAGGTCAGCATCCATCTGCCTTATTCCTCGGGGCTCCCCGCTCCGAGCCCCGTGCCTGGCACTGGCACCGTGAACAGACCCAGGGCGTCTCTCTGGCTGGCTCAGAGCTGGCTCCTGCCGATACCGAGCAGGCAAGAGTCAGACGGCTCCTCATGTGGTGGGCGTAGGCAGCCCTTGACCTTGGACTGTGCTGTGGCTCCTTTACTTCCTAGAACAGTGGTCGGCAAACTGCGGCTCGCGAGCCACCTGCGGCTCTTTGGCCCCTTGAGTGTGGCTCTTCCACAAAATACCACGCACCCTCATTACGGTAACAACCATGTGCCTACCTGTAGAGTTTACGTTTTTAAAAAAAATGTGGCTCTCAAAAGAAATCTCAATCGTTGTGCTGTTGGTGTTTGGCTCTGTGGACTCATGAATTTGCCGGCCACCGACCTAGAACTGTCCCTGATCGCAGCCCGGGAGGCAGGCGCCTTCCCCAGAAGCCTGCCCTGCCCTCTGCCCGTTCCCGAGGCTGCGGCCGCTCCCCTGCCAGACGCCGCGGCTCTGCCCGGGTGCCGGGACCCCAGAGTCCTCCACACGAGAAGCCCCAGCACGGCTCACCCTCACCCCTCCTCCTGCGCCTGAGCTCTCGGGCAGATCCCCCATCGAGCTGCATGCGTTGCCTTGTGGTGCCTTGGTCCTTCTAGGTGGGACGTCTTCAAGGTCAAGGACAGTCTTTTCATCTCCCATGTTGGGCACCATGGGTGAATGAATGAATGAATGAATGAATCACGTTATCTAGCGGGGGATGGGGGGACTCCCACAGAGGACAAGGTGGCCCTTTGTATCCTGGCAACAAAGCCATGAGTTCCTGGCAGCGGGAGGAAGAGGGTGGCGCCTCTGACCAGTGGCCTGGTGTCCAGAGAGCCGGCCTGTTGGTCTGCACTCACCAGCTCAGCCAGGTGCCCAGCCTCTCTCCTGTCTGTCCCCAGAGCCCGCTCCCCGCTGGCAGGAGCAGGCCTCCCAACTGACCATCTGACCGTCCATCCGTCCGTCCGGGAAGATGAGCGCCTGCGGGAGGAAGGCGCTGACCCTGCTGAGCAGCGTGTTTGCCGTGTGCGGCCTGGGCCTGCTGGGCATCGCCGTCAGCACGGACTACTGGCTATACCTGGAGGAGGGCGTGGTCCTGCCCCAGAACCAGAGCACGGAGATCAGGATGTCCCTGCACTCGGGCCTGTGGCGCGTCTGCTTCCTCGCAGGTAAGGGCGCAGGTGGCAGGCAGCCCCGCCCGAAAGCTGCCCCAGAGCCCCCCGCCCACCGTGGGCGGAGAGGCCCCGCCGAAAGGAGGCGGTTCCCCCGGACAATCCTCCGAAACCCGGGCCGTGTCCCTGCAGCCACAGGACCCACCCCCACCCGGGGCCTGGCATGTAGAGTCCGTTTGAGCAAGTCCTCTCGTCTCCCGGGACCTGGGCGCTCCCCCCCGGAAGGGGATGTGGCCTCCAGGCTGAGGGAGGCTGGTGAGCTCAGGGCTGGACGTGCCCTCAGTGCCTGAGCCAGGGCGTCCCTGATCTCCGTGCCCCACGGCACTGCCAGGCAGGACTGGTTACTGTCCCCGCCCTGCCCACGAGGGAATGGAGGCTCGGGAGGCGAATGGGTCCCCTTGATCCAACGTCGCTGCATCCACCGGTTTCCAGGGAGGGCGGTCCTGCGCACCCGCCTCCCGGAAGGACCCGGAAGGACCCGGAAAGGTAACCATCCTCGTCTTCCCAGGTGAGGAGCGCGGGCGCTGCTTCACCATAGAGTACGTGATGCCCATGAACAGCCAGCTGACGTCCGAGTCCACGGTCAACGTTCTGAGTAGGTGCCTTCCACTTCCCAGCCCGGGGCCTGGCCAGACAGGGCAGAGACGGGCGGAGGGGAGGGACGGGGGCCGCTTATTTCTCGGAGCTAAGGTCCTCAGACTCAGCGGGTGGTGCCGGCCTGAGCTCACCGGGACTTACTGTCGATTATTGATCCAGGGGTGGTGACAGGTTTCGAAATGTCCCAGTTCTATGACACAGGCAAGTGGCAGGGCATCCATACCCAGCGTCTTAGTCTAGGTGGGCTGCTAGAGCACAACCACAGACCTGGGAGTGATAAACATCAGAGGTGTCTGTCTCTCGGTTCTGGAGACCAGGAGTCCACGATCAAGGCTCTAGCAGGGTCCGTTCTGGTGAGGCCCACTTGCTGTGTCCTCATACGGCAGGAGGGGTGAGGGAGCTCTGTGGGGCCCCATTCTATAAGGGCACTAATCCCCTGTGTGAGGGCCCCACCCTCGTGACCTCAGCACCTCCCAAAGGCCCCACCTCTTGATGCCATCACATATGAATTTGGGGACACGGTCATTCAGGCCATAGTACTCAGGAAGCAAGCCCTCTGGCCCCCAATAAGACTGACCTCCGGGCCTTGTCCCCCCAGAGCTGGTTCTGACCTCTGGAATGTACTTGCAGTACAATTCCCTCTGAATTAGCACAGACTCCACAGGCCAAGGGCTAAGGGACAAAGCCCTGGGAGGTCCCAGCCACCGCAGCCCGGGGAGCGCCTGCAGGTGCGGCTCTGGGGCCCCGCTGGCAGTCACTGCCAGGAAGGCTCGCCCGAGGAGGGAGCGAGGAAGGCCCCGGGAGGCTGACAGAGTCCCTTTGTGCCCTTCGTCAGAAATGATTCGCTCGGCCACACCGTTCCCTCTGGTCAGTCTCTTCTTCATGTTCATCGGGTTTATCCTGAGCAACATCGGACACATCCGCCCCCACAGGACCATCCTGGCCTTTGTCTCCGGCATCTTCTTCATCCTCTCGGGTAAGCGTGTTGTTTCCATGCGCCCGGGCCTCTGGCTCCTCCACAGCTCTGCCCCAGGAAGGCCATCCTTCCATCCGTGAAGCCATTCATTCCTCTGCCCATCTGTCCATCCATCCAGCACGTATTCACCGGGCACCTGCAGCGAGCTCAGCCCGCCCTCTGCAGGGGATGCTGCCACCTCGTCCAAGAGGCAGGGCCCGGGGGAAGCTCTTTCCCTCTCTATGAAGCTGGCGATGCTGAGGCTACTCCGGAGCTCTGAGGGATGCTCCAGCAGTGGGCTGCGGGAGGAGACCCGGGCCCAGGGAAGTGGTTGTGATGATAGCAATGGACAGGGTCCCCTGGGCCCTAAACACACGTTAGGCGCCAAGGAAGTCTTGAATCGTTGACTTTCCTTCAACAGCCATCCTTCGAGAGGCCCTAGGTTAATCACATAAATGGAATTGAACCTGAAGAGCTCAAAAAACAGAGTAGTTAGTTATGTCCTGATTCGATCACGGTCACTAACTGATGGGCCCGGTGCCTGAGGCAGCCATTGGCACAACGGCCCCAGGAGTTTGGGCCCCATGATTGCCAGGATCTGGACAAACGCTCCTTGCCTCTCGCCCAGCCGTCTCAACAGGCCACACCTGGGGGCAGGTGGGCTGGGCAGACCAGGGGCCACGTGGCCTCCACCAGGATGCTGTTCCTCCCCAATGGAGACAGGCAGCGGAGGCTGCTGCCTCTGCCAAGGGGGCCTGTCGTATCCCTCGGTTTAGCCAGAGCCCCCGGCTGGCTCCGTGGCTCTCCCCCATCCTTCCCATGAGGCCCACAGGGGACTCGGGATGTCGGCAGGCGGGGCAGGCATCTACGTCTGACAGGCGATCCTAGCGGGCAGGAGGGCGAGAACCGGCGGGCTTGCCGGGGCTCGGGAGGCGGCCGGACAGGGCACTTGGTTTCTTCCTTTTCTTTTTTTTTTATTATTATTATTTGAATTTATTGGGGTGACATTGGTTCATGAAATGACATAGGTTTCAGGGGTACACTTCCATCACACGTCATCTGTGTATCGCACTGTGTGTTCACCGCCCCAAACTAAGCTCGCAAACCCAGCGGAGGTGGGAGCTGTCTTACCGCAGCTCTGCCTTCCGGGAGGGAACGGTCTGAGCTGAGCAGGGTGGCGGGAGGAGCGCGCCTGCTCTCTCTGACCGCCAAAGCGAGTGTGTTGTCGCCCTGGGGCCCCAGCTTTCGTCCCGAACCCCAGGGGAGGTGGGTGCCCCGTCCGCACCCCGCGGCCCTAATCTGAGCGGCGCCCGCCCTGCCCCAGGCCTCTCTCTGGTGGTGGGCCTGGTGCTGTACATCTCCAGCATCAACGACGAGATGCTCAACCGGACCAAGGACCCGGACACCTACTTCAGCTACAAGTACGGCTGGTCCTTCGCCTTCGCCGCCATCTCCTTCCTCTTAACGGAGGTAACACCCCCGCAGGCTGGGTGGGGCGGGGGGGGCACTGCCCGCGCAGCCCGGTGGGCGCCGGGCCCCCAGCGGTGAGCTCTGCCCCCCCTCTCTCCGCAGAGCGCGGGGGTGATGTCCGTGTACCTGTTCATGAAGAGGTACACCGCCGAGGACATGTACCGGCCTCACCCCGGCTTCTACCGCCCGCGCCTGAGCAACTGCTCCGACTACTCGGGCCAGTTCCTGCACCCCGACGCCTGGGTCCGCGGCCGCAGCCCCTCCGACCTCTCCAGCGACGCCTCGCTGCCCATGAACAGCAACTACCCGGCCTTGCTCAAGTGCCCCGACTACGACCAGATGTCGTCCTCCCCCTGCTGAGCCACGGCCTCCTCCCCCACCTCCGCCCCCGCCCCCTCCCCGGACCGTGGATGGCCAGACGGCCTCCCTCTTGCGGGCTCCCCTGCCGGCCTGTGTGCCCTGGACCCGGCCCGTGGTGGACAGGCCGAGGCCGCCTCCATGCTTAGCTGTCGTCACGTGACCCTGTGGTCTCCCTGCTCCCCCCAGAATGTCTCTAACTGCCCCCCAGTGGTGTCAGGAGTCTGGGGCCAGCGGACAGCGGATTGGCCGAGAGCATGGGGGTAGCCCCACCCCTTGAGTGCCAATCGCTCCAGCCACTGTCCCCTTTCCTGGGGCAGGTGAGTGTCTGGCTGTGCAGTCATCCCTGCACACCCAACCTCGTGGCCCCAGGCCAAGGCCAGCTCCGGGACACCGAGTCCCTTCCGAACGCCCAGCTGGACGTGTGTGTGTCTGCCAACGGGCCTGGCCCTCACGTTCACGATCTGGCCCCCCCGAACAAAAGGTGACTGATGTCTGGCTGGTTCTGCATTGTCCAGCGGCGTCCTTGTGAAGTCCTTTGTTCTTTTTGTGGCCCACAGCTCCCCATACAACACACCCGTCTGTGCTGTCCCCCTCCCTCTCTGCCCACAGACTGCGTGACTCCTCCTCCCACCGGAACTCAGCTGCCCATCCTGGTCCCCCAGGGGCTGAGGGCGCTCTGAGGCCGCTCTGACGAAGTCACCGAGAGGCGCTAACGGCTGGTGATGTCTTACTATGTACGGCCCCTCCGTGACGTATCCAACAGGGGTCCAACATGCCTTAACCCCAAGGAGTGACTCTGATCACGAGAATTTTGCTGGTCACAGTGAGCATTCCCAGGCGCTGTCCCAGGCCCTGGGGACACTGCCCCTGCTCACGTGGCCTCCTTTCTGGCCCGAAATCGAAACCCGTGGACAGATGTCTGCACCGCCTGCAGAAGGCAGATCTCAGGAGGCTGCGTGGGACGAGAGTGCATTTTGAGTCTGAACAAGCCAGGCTGGGACTCTCTGCTGTCTCTCCTGAGGGTGTCCGGGAACATTGGGGGGTTGCCGATTGAACCCTAATAGAGGACCATGACTGCTTCCTGGGTATGGGACCTGTGTAGGCATGTAGATGCCCCCAGAAGGCAATGCGGCATGGTGCCCATTTTCCTGGTGGGAAACCTGGGCTAGGACGTGGGCAGCACCGCCGTGAAGCCCACGGGGGGACACGGTGGGAGGCCTCTGCAGGCGGCACCCCTCGGCTCTCCGGGGTCCCGGCCGGGCGGCCTGGACCTGCCGTTTTGGTTAGTGAGGCTGCCGGCTCCCTGAGCGTCCTGGCCCCGCCTGCTTCCCCCCCTTCCCCGCGCTCTTTAGGATGGCATTGTTTCTGGGGGCACACGGCTCCCGTGCCGCCTGGTGGGCTCCGAAAGGTCGTGCAGAGAAGCACACGTGACGTGTGCAGCCTTCCACAGGGCAGGGGTGTGGTTTGTTGTTGCTCAGCTGCCGTAACAACATGCCGCAGACCGGGTGGCTCAAACGGCCTACGTTTCTCTCACGTTCTGGCAGCCAAGAGTCTGAGATCAAGGGGTCAGCGGTTCCAGCAGCATCCTTGTGAAATCTTTTATTCTTTTTGCCGCCCTGTCTCTCCCTACAACACACCCGTCTGTGCCGTCCTCCTCCCTCTCTGCCCTCAGACTGTGGCAACTTATTTTGATTTTTCACAGAGAGGAAGGGAGAGAGATAGAGAACCAGAAACATCGATGAGAGAGAAACATTGACCAGCTGCCTCCTGCACACCCTCTACTGGGGATGTGCCCGCAACCAATGTACATGCCCTTGACCGGAATCGAACCTGGGACCTTTCAGTCCTCAGACCGACGCTCTATCCACTGAGCCAAACCGGTTTCGGCTGATGGCCACCTTCTTAACCAGGTCCTCACGCGGTCTTTTCTCTGCACGTGTGGTGTCCAAACCCTCTCTTTATAAGGACCCCATCCCCAGAACGCACGAGCCAGCTTCCTGGAGAAAGCCCCAGGGTGCCCTCGTGTGTGACTCCTGCCTGTAAAGCAGTAGCAACTCGACACCCAGCTCTCCCTCCGTTGGCACCTGCGGAGGCTGCTGTGGTCTTTGGTTACTGCTTACGGAATGACATGGAAACCGCCTTCTCCCTGCTGTCAAGGGACCTTTTCCCACCGGACGGGCTGGCGTGCAGATCCGCTCCCCTACAGCTTCGCCAGTGCAGTCAGCTCCCAGGATGCACTGGCCTCGCCCTGGCGCCCTCTCTGTCACTGGGCCAGGCTTGTCTGTGTGCACGGGGAGGAGGCAGAAGCCCCCTCACCCCGGGCGATGTTGGCTGTGCCGGCCTTAGGGTGGGCCTTTCGTGGCCTGGTGGCTGAGCTGCTAAGGAGCTGAGCCCCCCCCCCCCCTCAGTCTGTGCAGCCAGCACAGTGGCCTTTCCGCTAGGAAGTCATCGCAGGGCGAGGCCCGGCCTGCCGCCTCTCCGCCATCGAGCGTTTTGGATCAGACATTACAGTATATGCACTCACCTCCGAGATCATGAGTGAAGGTCCCTTCCCCAGGACACCTTCGGATCTCTTGCTTCCTCAAGCTCTTCAAAAAATACATGGGTGAGCGTTTTTTCTCTTCACCCTCAAAAAATGGGAGGGGAGGCTCGGACACCAAGGTCTGATGAATTTTTGGAATAAAACCACTGAGGGTTCCCTCCCACATGCAGCTCACCACGGTGATGCCTCATCCCCGAACGCCAGGAGATGGGCTTCAGAGGAAGGGTCTGTTGTCCCTGTGCACCGGGCTGAGGGGAGGAATTATGGGGAAATCCACGCGTGTCCCTGGTTTAGTGGGGATGTCGCGGAGTCACACTTGGGAAGAGGCCCCTCCTCGATGTTTGGGTACCTCTCCTTTCTGCCTAAGTAAACAGGCTGTGTCCGGGCTCTCCGGAGACACAGAACCAACAGGATGTGTGCACGGAGAGACTTATTTTAAGGAATTGGCTCACCTGATGACGGAGGTTCATCAAGTCCAAAATCTTATGGGGAGGCCAGCGGACTGGAGACTCAGGGCAGAGCTCCATTTCAAGCCTGAGGGCCGTCTGCCCCGGGGAAGTCAGTCTTTGTTCTCTTCAGGCCTTCAGGTGATGGGGCGAGGCCCGCTGCCTTGTGGAGGGCAATCCGCGTTACTCGCAGTCCACGGGTTTAAATGTTAACCTCGCCCCAAAGGTAACATCTTTACAGAAACAGCCAGAATCATGTTGGACCAAACACCTGGGCACAGATGACACGTAAATTACGAGAGAACACGTAAAATGAACCCCCACAAGTGGATAAAGGGCAGAGGAAGGCGGGGCAATGGCCTCCCCCGTAAGAACTGCAGGTCCACGCACACCCAGGGAGGGCCCTGTGCCTCCCGGCTGCCCCTCTGGCGGCCATCGGCTCCGTGAGTACACAGAGCCATTTGCAACTCTCCCAGTCTTTTTTTTTTTTTTTTTTTTTTTTTTTTTAATATATACTTTATTGATTTTTTACAGAGGGGAAGGGAAAGGGACAGAGCGTCAGAAACATCCATTAGAGAGAAACATTGATCAGCTGCCTCCTGCACACCACCTACTGGGGGTGTGCCCGCAACCAAGGTACATGCCCGTGGCTGGAATCAGGTCAACACTCTTATCATCCACTGAGCCAAACCAGTTAGAGCCCGGTCTTGACTCTCATCCCACCCTCAGCCAACACCCTCTCACAAACTAATACGCTTTGTAGGTTGTTAACTAGCCTGTGGAACACAGACACTCCACGTCCTGAGTGGGCGCAGACGTGGGTGAACAAGTGGATTCTGCCTGTTGCAGGGAAGGTGTCGCGTGTGGGGCAGAGGGGAGTCAGCCCAGCCAGGCATGCTCAGGCCCAGGCAGGCCGGGACCAGCCTGGGCTGCGAGGGTGGGCTCAGCCATGGCGGTGAGGCTTAGCAACCACCACCCGCAGGCCTGACAGCCCCCGGAGGGTAGAGGGTGGTGCGCCACAGCCCCGCCATAGCCTCTCCAGGACCTGGAGACCTAACGTGCTCATTCGGATCACGAGGGGTTTGGATAAAATGGTCTCTGGATTCTATGTCCAACTCCAAAGGCTGTTGGCTTTGCAGGCAAAACCCAACCAAGTTCAAGTGATAAACTCCTCCTCCCTCCCCCCACTCCTTCCTCTTGCCTGAAGCACCTGGACAACAACACAAAGAATATGGAATTCGGGGGAAAGGTCAGGTGGGCCTCGGTCAGCTGTGCTCCCAGCCCAGATCCTGATGTTGTTCTCAGGCAGGGCCTGAGTGTTTCTCTAACGAGCTGGCAGGTGTGGGCAAGCTTCTGCCGTGCTCTTGGCTCTAGGGACTGGGTTCCAGGCACGTGAATTGTGTAAAGCGCCCTACGTGGCCCTAAGGTGCTATCAGGGTGAGGACCACTGGCTGAGCTCTACCAGGGTCTGTCTGTCCCTTGGGACTGGGCCGAAGCCCCTGCTCCGGTGTCTGGTTGGAAGGCTAGTGGCTTCCCAAACAAAAACGCAAGAAAAGCATGCTGGGTGGGCACCCCAGAATGCCTCAGACCCTGGCATCCTCCTTGCTACCTCCCAGCCCTCACAGACGCTGCCTCCTCTGACCACGGCTGTGCCTCGCGCAAGTTGTCACGTCCGTGGGCCTCTCAGCTCTTGGGCCCTTACCCCAGTGAGCTGGTCTTCATTGGGGTGCAGCCAGAGCCGGCCCCTGGGGAAGAGACGGCAGTGCTCAGCTTTCTGGAGTCCGTGTGCTCTCCGCCCAGCGCCGCCGGGGCCCGGGGACAGGCTCCTGGCCCGGAGTAGCCGTGATGGATGTTCAGAAATGACCTTGCGGTCTCAGGGCTCCGGCTGCAGAGTTTAAACCAATCTGCACCACCGGTCTCTGAATAATTCATGTCACACCCGGCGATCATAAAAAGAACAGGGCTTGAGGGCTTTGGAGGTTTCTGGTCAGGCAATAAAGAGACCGTGTATG